GTGGGCCCCGCGGGGTGCAGGGGCATCCGGGGCTCTGCACCCCCCTGGCTGGCTGCCCCCGGTGCCCCAAGCGCTGAGGTGGGACGCGGGAGCCCAGCCCCGACGCAGGTGTCCTTGGGTGTCCCCCGTGTGTCACCTCCAGCACTTGCTGGCTGAGATGCCCCTGGCAGTGTTAGGACCAACGCGAGTAGCTGCTCCTGTGCGTGAAGTCTGACCCAGGCTTTGAGGTTTTGCTGGTGTACATAGGTCTGCAGGGCTGTGGTGCCTTTATGCTGCGGTGCGAAGTTGACTGCTTGTGTCTTTGGGCTTAACGCTGGCAACGTAATCCTTCTGATGCTCTTGGGGAGGGTCTGATTTCAGCTCTGCCAGCAAAATAACCCTCTGGGGCTATGAGGTGCCTTTCTTGCAGGGCAAAAGAAAGTAGTGCTAGTTCAGCTATGTTGGTGTGTCCTAAGAAGGAGAAAGGGCTATAAATCTCTACAACTTCCCATAGTGTCTCTTGTTTTGTTATTTTTGCATTCTGGGGCTGAAAGTGAGCGGCATTTGCAAGTTCTCTTTTGACTGCTGAGATGGTGTGTTCCAAGACTCCTGTCATTTTAGCAGTACGCATGTTCTGGCTTTATTTATTGTCAAGAACCTGGAAATCCTTCCTCCAATTTTGGACCTACCACTTAGGGCTTCTTCAAAGTTTTTTCCTCTTCTTCGTATTTACCAACAGCAGTGATGACTATGGCCGAAGTTTAGGAGAACATCAGGCTGACAGCATCAGCCCAAAGCTCTCCCTTGGCCTAAATATAGCAAAGGGAAACTAATTCTCTTCACCTGATTGCCATCAAAGAGAACAATATGTATAAGCAGGAATTTTAACTCTCAAGTGGATTATTAAGTATTCTGCCAGCTTACAGCAGCTGTTCTGTGCTGTATATTGTACACCAGTACAAATAATACTAATTATTTGTGATGGATGAAATGCAAAGCAAAGGATTTAGGTTTCTTAGCAGCACAGTGATGTTGCAGCATGAAATTAAAAGGTAAACCAAAGCTAGATCCTAATGTTAGTGTGAATTGGCCCAGTTTCATCAAAATCCATAAAGCTGATTTATCATAGTTGAGGAGAGAGGCCCCTTGCACAAAGGACATCTGGAATGAGATAAATGGTGACTCCTGCTCTCCTGCAGGCTTCACAAAACTGCTATAAAGCAGGAGTCATCGTATTCCCACTTCAGCTGTTCCATTATAAGTAGTAATTAGTACTGACCTAGTTTTTGTCCCCTTTCATTTTTGCCATACGGTTTTGAGAGTTTGGTGTTTTGGCTCTTAAACATCCTATGGTTTTTTGAATGGGACCTAATGGTTTGAATCCGTCCACAGAGGAAAACCTTGTCTGATACCCTGCAACCTATTGGGTCAGTGTGATGATGGTCTGTCATGTGTTGTTCATCTCCTTTGTTTACTCTATTTGGTAGACCATGCTCTACAGCATTCTGTGAATACAGATACAGCTTGCATTTCCACCCCACCCCAAAAGCTCCTTCTGTTGCTGTAGCCAGAAAGGAAGCATGCTTGTCTCAGCCCTCCATGCTTTCCTTTCCTGAACTGTCCTTCACCCTTTTCAGCTCAGCCTAGGAAAACAGTCAGTTGCACAGATATATTTGGTGTCATGCGCACGAGTAGGAAAGAAGGTTCACGCGCTTTCCATTATGGGGTATCCAGCGTCCTTGGGAGGCAGAAGTCATCTCCGCAAGGCTCCTTCCCTTAGTTTAACCGGTGAAATGATACCAGAAAGCAGTGGGGCTTTGTAACACCCCTTTCTTGGTTGCCTGGTGCTCTGTGGCTCCCTTCCTGTTTGTTTAGCAAGCCCCCAGGGCAGAGGCTTTATGTTCTTTTGTTCTGCTCAGCCCAAAGGGTGCTGTTGTGCTGGGTAGGTGGGTGTGAGAGTGACCAGGCTGGTCCTTCCTGCCCTGAAGGACAGATTGCTTAAACCAAAGCTCTCTCCGGCAGCCAGCACAGCCTTGGTGCCAGTTCAAAGTGCAGCTCTGGTGAATAAATAGTGGCATTAGACAAACTCCTTGCTGGGTCTGTGGTGGGGCACAGGGGGAGGGCTGGTGTTCCTGCCTCTGCAAACTGTATGTCAAAGACCCCTGCTGGGCTAAGAGCTGTGCTGCCATGGGTGTTGCAGACCTGAAGGTGAGGGTGGGCTGGTTGTCTGGGATTGAGCAGAGGGCTTGCCACTGTAAAGCTCAATCCTGCTGGAAGCAGGACAGCCCAGTGCTCCCTCTTCCTCCTGTGAACACTGGCACTGGGGCTGCTTGCATAGCCAGCCGGGGAGCCTGGCCTGCTGGAACCTGGCTCTGTAAAAGCAAAGGAAAACAACTGCCCATTGTCTTTTCAAAAGAGCTAGACAGCTGATGAGCACCTGGTGTTGGCACCAGAGAGACTGAAGGTGGTTGGACAACCCCTTTGGCAGGACCGCATATTTAGGTCAGTTTAAAGCAGCTGCGAGTACAGCATCTGAGGATTTGTTGAGGGTTGGTTGCTGCAGGAGCTCCTGTAAAATCCTGGATGGATTGGGGTCTGTTTGTGTCAGCCCTCACTGAAACCAAAGCCTTGTAGACAAGGGACAGTAAACCTGTGTTCAGGCCTGAGTCTGCCTGCTGACCAGAAGTATTGCTGCATCTTTGCATTTGTCCATATCCTTGTTGAGGGAGAATAACAGAAAATGTCCAGCTTAAAAACAGCTGTATTGCAACGTAAGATTCTTTTTCCATGTAATCGTGGAGCTTAGTAATTAGTACTGTGTTTTTGCTATTGGTTTAACTCCTCCAGTGGGCACAACTAGGGTGTTGGAAGTAGGCTAATTGGCTGTCCCTTCTAAATCCTCTGCAGAATTGCTCTGTTCAAATAGCAAAAATTGTGTTGCCTTTTCTTAAATAGTGGGAGAAAAAGTTATTTAATATTTTCCTTGGGTTCTTAAAACCTAACATTGGTCCCAAACTATCAGAGAGTAGATCTTTATTTCTTCCCTGGTCTCTGACATGGGCAGAAGGTTTTGAGAGTTATTTAATTTCCGTGGGTCGCAGATCCCATGGCATGCATAACTTAACCTGTTCGCAGATCCAGAAGTACGTCATGATTGAATGACTTTATGTACCCGACTTCTTTAAAGAAGGCCTAATTCCTGTAACTGAACCAGAATCCAGGCTCTTAGCTATAAATTATGAGCTCCTACATATTCAGTCGGAAGAGTGTGTTAGGCAGCCAGAGTGGTGATTTCGGGCTCTGTAAGAAATAAGAACACAAATGCAGGTGTTAGGCGAATCACTCGGTAAGAACACGGTGTTACTGTGAAGCTGACTGGCCTGGCTTGAGGGCTACCCCTTTGTTTCCTGTAACTGTACCACTTTTATCACTAAAAGAGGAACAAAATGATATGAAAAGGCTTGAAGAGAAGGCAGGGGAGGAGCAGATGTCTGAAAAGTGTTTCACTTGGGCAGATTGAGTTGACATTCTAAAATTTCTTGAAGGTGCCAGATGTGTTGAGGAGGTTGTGAAAGAAAGGGGAATCTCCCACTCCTCTCTCTTTTCTTTCTCCAAAGTGAATTCCAGTTTCTTTAGTGAGAACCAAGAATATCTCACAGATCTTCAAAGTATCCACTCTGACCTCTCAAGCTGGCTGATGGACAGAATAGTGTACTGGTTGGACTGTGAATGCATGATTCAGATTTAAGTGACTGCATCCAAGTCACGTGGCTTCTTCAGCTTCATCTTGAAAGTTGGATATGTTTCCTGAGACACACAGGCTTTTTCTCGCAAGATACTTGGGTAAAATACTGCAGAGGAGAGGAGGTGTTCTTGTAGATATTACAGCTTAACAATGCATTAGAGGTCTGGTTTTGCTTATGGACAGGTGGCTAAGAATCAAATGGTGACTGAATTATCCTTATTTACTCCAGTTGCTTTGTTAAGCTGACTTACTAAAGGCTGAAAGGAATTTTCCTACCACCTGCCTTTAGAGCTTCCTGAAATCTTGGCTGTAAGGCTGTTTTGCAGTATCCAGGGCAGTATCCTCTTCTCTCTGGTGTCTAGAAAGAAGAACTTTTCTTCTCCTCTCTGCACTGTGCCACTGCTTTGCTTGTTTTTCTGCACGGTAATAGGTGGAAAGAGGCCAAACATTTGTAGCCCCCACTTTTATACTTGAAGTTGTTGCCCATCCAAGTTGTTTTGCTTGTAATCACAAGGCAACGTAAGGGGAAAAAAAGAAGTGGCTCACCTAAGGAGACAGGTCTTTCCCTTTCTACACAAACCTCTCCTTGTCCATGGGCAGAGAAAAACTGCTTTTGAAATTCATCTGGTTAATAAACAGTCGTAACAGGGAAGATGGCATGTAACTCCTGGTTAGTGGCTGATGTCAAGCCAAGGCTCTGGGTTACTAAGAAACTTCTGCTACCCGCTGATGCTTGCGGGAGTGTTGTGTAAGAGCTGAGCTCTCTTAGCTTTCTAGCAGGCAGACAACTTTTGAGGTGAAGCTTTGTTTGGCCCACGCAAAACAAACACTAAGCACTGAGAAACCTCCTTTGTGAAAGTCAAGGTGTTCTAATGGGAGAGGGAAAACAGAGGCAGCAACTGTGAAAGCTGTGGCAAAGAAAAAGTATTAAATTGCTTCAGTGTTGCATTTTGCTGTTCTCCCTGACCGCAAAAGTCACTGTGACTTTAACTGAACGGATTGTCGTGCCTGGGGTGACAGCAGGCTAAATCAGCTGTTAGAAGGAGATGGAGTTCCATAGTGTGTTGTAGCCTCCCTGCTGAAATTGCGTCTCCTTTTCAGACTTCCAGTTGCTTGCACTGTGCTGTTCACTGTTTCTCATTCCTTCTGATCTGCTTGTCCCCTCAGCCTTGAGTAGTGCTTGGCCGTGCTCCTCCTGAGTGCTCCCTGGGAAAGTGATAATGATCACATTCATGAACAACTCGGACAGCGAGGAGGAGCCCTGCAATGAGAGAACATCCCTGATGTCTGCAGAGAGCCCTCCAGTACCCTCCTACCAGGATGGCCTGCAAGCTTCAGAAGCAGGGGAAGCGCAGGCACGTAGGGTAGGTATGCATCCTTCCCGGGGAGTGAAGAAATGGGGTATGATCACAGATGTAGTCCTCCTACCCCTCAGTCCCTCCCAGCAGATTGGCTTCTAGGATTGGCTTTGGCCAGTGTCGTTTCTCTGGTGTCACTCTCTTAGCCAGCAGCAGCAGTGCCTGTTCCTGTTTCCTCCACTGTGACTTCCCCCCTTTTTATCTCCATATATACTCCTCCCTTTTCCTTCCTTTTGGTAAAGATACTGGCTTTTAATCAGGACTTAATGCACGTATGACTCTTGCAGGATATCCTTTTCAGCCTTCTTGTTTTGTCAGAAACCCTTTGTCTGCTCTGGTGAAATGCAGCAAATGTTAGAACAGAATCTCGTCCTGCTGCCAGCAAAGCAGCGGGATAAAACAAGCACAGCATTGCTGTGGGAGGAGGAACTGATCAAGCTTATGCCACCTCACATGACGTTTCTTCTATCTCAGTTCTGTGCACCTTGCCCTTCATGTGCATGTGTCTGTCTATATATTTGGACTTGAAGAGGCCCTTAGATATTCATGGTTTTGGTTTAAAAACTCCACTGCAGCCTGTTTGTAGTGGAATTTCTAATTGTATTGTTCAGTTAGTACCTTTCTATTAGGAACAAGTTGAAATATGATGGAATGAAGCTTTGAACACAGAGAAAAGAAGGTCTTATATATTTGCTAATATTTCTTTTCAGAAGAGGCGAACAGGTAGCAGCCGTAGCCCTAACAATATTGCTGATGGGGATATGTCTGACTCGGGTGTTCCAGTGAGAGAAAGCGCGCTGGAAAATGAAGAGGAGGAACTGACTCTGAAATATGGAGCAAAGCATGTAATCATGCTCTTTGTGCCTGTCACCCTTTGTATGATTGTTGTCGTCGCCACCATAAAGTCAGTGCGCTTCTATACGGAGAAAAACGGGCAGCTGTAAGTGGGGTCTTCAAAACAGCCTCAGTACATGGGATACCTAGCTTTACACATATATTCATGCACGCACATCTGTGTACACAGAGTGCTTCCTTGGCAGGTTGGGAGAACCTTTACGCAGCTAAAGGTGACTGCGTAAACATACAAAGATCTTACTAAAGTATGCTACGATCATCTGTGTAAGTCTTTCCACACCTGCATTATACCGATTTGTTAGCACCGTCATTAGGGCACCCTAAGTGAAGCCTGCAAGCAGCGTAATAATGAAGTTGCTTCATACTGCAGCATAAAAGGCCCAGGCTGAACTCCTAGTCTGTTCACCCACTACCCGGCAGCAATCAGGGAATAGCATGTTCATTTGGATGAGTGTCTCATTTCCTGATGACATTTCTGGTTCCTAAAGGACTCATGGTGTGGATACATAATTCCATCCAACTCTTGCTGACTGTGCCCGAGAGCCCTCCTGGGGCTCAAAATGCGCTTCATACGGCGGGTGGAGAAACAGGGACTGTGCTGCCTTGAACTGAACCAAAGGAAACAAAATGGAGGGAGGTGTGGGGTGATGAGAAGGGATAAAAGAGTCCAAGACTCTCCTACCAAGTGTGGAAAGAAGGGGTTCCCTGCTTTCAGGACAGCACCTGGGATGTATCTTTATAGTTATCATGGAGAGGGTCCAGAGCATGCAATAAAAATTGGTGGCCTGGAGAGAAGTTACTAAACTTAAATGAAGTCATTTATACTCTAGGTCTTTTTGTTTAGAGCTCTGCCAGCCACAGCTTCTCTGTAGGAATGTGCTTTTGATAGAGACCACTAATCTTTAGCTGATAATTCACTGGAGCCCAGCTGCTTCAGAGGGTGCATCTCATGTTTGCTGTCCTTGGCAGCCATACCTCCCTTTCTTTCCCACACACAGAGAGGTCTGGTTTTATCTTGGGGCAGTTAATTAGAAGAGAATATATGTACTTTATATGGCTTTTGCTTTATACTGCAGGATCTACACCCCTTTCAGTGAGGATACCCCGTCTGTGGGCCAGCGTCTCTTGAACTCAGTGTTGAACACCATCATAATGATCAGCGTCATCGTTGTAATGACCGTATTCCTAGTTCTGCTCTATAAATACCGTTGCTACAAGGTAAAGCATTCATGCCAGAGCTTTTTCCACCTATATGTTGTGAATTTGAGTTCAAGTGGGGCTTGCGTGTCAGTGGGCTAGTCCACATCTTAGTGACAGCAGGAATCATATTGTACCGAAGCCTTTGTCAGCGGTGGTGGAACTGTGCCCCCGAATATGCTGTGCTGTTATTTTGTCACTAATGGTAGGCTCCTAAAAACAAGGCCTGCTACTTTGTGTTAGTCAGGTCTGAGTCTTCTCCATCTGATCAAAATGTTTTGCAGTTTGTACTTACGGAGTAAGTTGAACCATCTACTGTGAATGCCTGCTTTTAAGCTCTTAAGAAGTTTCAGACAAGCTTTGTGGGAGCTGGTATTCTTCCTGCCTGCGGAGGCTCTGGTGGAAGGGGACAAGGCTTGGAGGGAAAGGCACATTCAGGTTTTGTGCTGCCCAGGGAGGAGCTGTATGTGGTATGAGCCCAGCATTTCAGCACTGGCCATTGCTGCTTTTTAAACTTGGCCTTGAGATGGATTTATTGTACAGCCTTGGGCAAACCTCTTCTCCTCCCCACCAAGCGGAGAGAATGTGCTTACCTGTCTAAGCTAGAAGCCAGTATGGATACCCATGGAAATGAATAGAAAAGAGACTTAAAAAAACCCAACAAAAACAAACACCAAGGGATAGAATATAAAATATAAAAGTTTGGGAGAATTGGGAGCAACTGGCTGTCCCCCCTCCCTCACTGGCAGTGGGGAAGGCAGGGTCTTTGGAAACTGGAGGAGGAGTGGAGGAGACTATTGGACAATAGGAAGCTCTGTCAATAATGCATGCAACACTGTGACCTGCACGAGGGGGAACAGCCCCTTCAATCACTGTCTCTTTTTGCCCTTGATAGTTCATCCATGGCTGGCTCATCCTGTCCTCTTTGATGCTGCTCTTCCTCTTTACCTACATATATCTTGGGTAAGTGGGAATGCTGCAGGTAACCTGGCAGTTCAGGGCTCCTTCACCTCTGCAGAAAATGCCCAACTTGAACAAGGAAAGGAATGTCTCCCCTTCTCCAAATGGAGATTTAAAAATTGTTAGAATGAGATAGCTTTCTTTTTTTTTAAAAATTAGAAAGTGAGATCTTTAATGGGCAATACCTGATTTTTAGAGTGCCTAGTCTACAAAAATCACTGGGAAGTGATACCATGAGCCTGAAATGAACAGGCTGAACATTGTGGTACAGAGGCCCTGAATTATATGTTGAGAAGCAAGTGGAAAGGAACTTTATGTGCTGAGTTGGTTCTCTGATTTGTCTTGCCTTTTTCTCAGACTACGCTGTTTCAAGTTCATTCCCTTAGCTCCCAGCTCAGGTAGAACCAAGCTTTTAACTTGCCTGGTGACACATGTTAAAACTTTTCATCTTTAACTGTGAGCATCATGCATCTGGTGGGATGACTCTTACGTGACTTCTTTGCTGCAGACGGTCATGTAGCTGCAGGCCTATGTTCAGCTAAGACTTGAAATCCTGCCTGCTCAAACCCTTGGAATCACTGTTGACCTCAGGACTATGGCACTGTGGTGCGTGCTTGTCTGCGCACACAGCCTGTCCATCTCCTGCAGGAGGAACAGAGAGCTAAGAGCAGCAATTGGCCACAAGGCAGGTTTCCCCTTCATGATGAGTGCTGCTTCTATCCTGCTTCCTCCTGATGTAGTAGGAGGCTTGTTTAACTACAGCTAGTAGGATGCTTTGCGTGTCAGTTGCTTTTATTGCTTAGCTATATTTTCTTATTGTATTTCAGTGAAGTACTGAAGACGTACAATGTGGCCATGGATTACCCCACTCTGTTCTTAGTCATCTGGAATTTTGGAGCTGTTGGAATGATTTGCATACACTGGAAAGGTCCCTTGCAGCTCCAGCAAGCATATCTCATTATGATCAGTGCTCTGATGGCGCTGGTCTTCATTAAATATCTACCTGAGTGGTCAGCGTGGGTGATTCTAGGTGCAATCTCCATCTATGGTAAGCCTGGCTTGTGACTCTCAAGGTGTGTCTCATGGAGAGGTTACTCTGACGCAATCTCAGGACTGTGTATGTCATTCAGAAAATGTCTATAAGGTGCTAGCAGCTTTAGAAAGAGGCAGATGGGCAATTAAGTTGACTCCCTGGCTTGTCTCTTGCTAAATTGTTCATGTAGGTACTGTACCCCTACCATGTCTTTCGAAGTGGAACACCAAGTCAGGGAAGTACTGAACCACATCTGACTGCATGGTAGGGGTGGTTGGATTTTTATCAGTAGCAACCTGATAGTCTTGCAGGTTTTGCTTATGGTTATCGAGAGATCATGGATTTTGGTATGCGTTAAAAGTTTCAAGAGAACCTGCAGAACAACAGGCAGCTGTGAGGTAACATTCAGATCGGTGAGGAGCTGTGATGGAGGAGAGGGGGTACGCAAAGAGGAACTGGACCAAAGGCCTTCATTCATGTGAACCACAGAGTCAGTGTATGTAGCGATGGATTGTGGAATGTGAACAAAGTACCCCCAGTCCTCCTCTAATTAATTAAATTTAACACCTTGATGTAATGGTGTCATCTACTTTCAAAGAAACAATGTGGTATTCTCAAGAGGCTTTTTACAGGATTAGCACAATGAAAACTCTTAATATTACATTAAGCCTGGGGGATGGTATTTGAAGTGAACAACATCTTCAGGGACTAGAACAGCTAGAGTTATGCAAAGTGGCAGAAACTGCCATTCAGGAAATCATCCAGTTAATATCAATAGATGTAATTTTGAGGAGAGAATAGCTTTTTAAAGATAAAGAATGTAAAATATGCATGATAGTTTGAGATGAGATTGTCTGGCCCTTTTCTCTTTGCAGATCTGATGGCTGTTCTCTGTCCCAAGGGGCCACTGAGAATGCTGGTAGAAACTGCACAGGAGAGAAATGAGCCCATTTTTCCTGCATTAATATATTCCTGTGAGTAAGATTAGAATGTTAATGTTTTTAACCAGATTAAACTTGCAACCTATTTCTGTGTCAAACCAAAGAGCACTATTTTAGTTACTTCCTTGCCCTAAGATTGGTGTGCCTTTATGCTCTGGAACAGACCACTTGTAGTAGGCGGCCTTGCTTATCAGTTACAATGGTGCAAACTGTAATTAGCCAAAGGGAGCCCACGTTTGCCTTGTGAAACTGAAATCTTCAAAAGTAGATTTATCCTTTCGTGAATACAGTGCAGAACATGCTGCTTTGTTCTGCATACAAAAACCTGTGTTAGATGGATAGTAGTGTTTGCAAAGTCTGTGATTAGATGGTGCTCACTCAATACACTTACTCCTTGTGCATACGCTTTATGGACACACTTTAAATGTGTGATGAGGTTCCATTCTTCCTGTAGCCCTCTCTTGCTCTGTGCACTGTATGGATGGCAGTGCTTGCAATATATTTGCTCTATTGTTCATTGTGTGGCTGCTCGCTTTGTAAAGGGTTCTATTCAAGTATTGCTCTGCAAACAAAATCAGTTGTCTCTTCCCTGGCTTTCTTGGGCTGTTCAACTACGGTGGTGTCCAGTGCCCTTATCCACAAAGGTATGTATGTGCTTAAGATTAAGATAGTTGGAAGGCAGGTGACTCAACACTTACAGGACTGGGATTCAAGTGCTTCATGGACCTCAGTGACCTCTTCTTACATCGCTTGTAAGACGAATGGGTATTTTGAGATGTTGGGTGCTAAGTTGAGGATGCCTACAACCTGACTGATCTTTTTTTTTTTCCCAAGCATTTAATGTTATATAAATGCTTTTATATGTTCAAAGCAGAGCTTCTGTTGGCTTCAGCTGACCTCCCTTTTACTGGGGATTCTGTTATACTGACCTGAGACAATCTAGATGAAGTCTCTCACATGTTTTAGTTAAGAAACAAGAGTTTCTCTAAAGGAGAATGCAATTCAACAAATAATAAATACTGAACAAAAAGTTCTTGTGCAGAACGTCAGTGTCTCCATTGCAAGACCACATTCTGTGGCGCTCTCTAGATGCAAAAACATCACCTTGGCTGAGTTTGTAGTGGAAAAGCAGGCACTGTGTTTGCCTTGGCTTATTTTGTTTAGTTTAGCTTCTATAAAAACAGGAAGACTGATGTACACGTAAATAAACAGCTGATTTGAGTTCCCTTCTACTGATTTCAGAATGGTTTGTATTCCTTTTTAATTTAGGGATCCATATCAAGAATAAACCCCCAAACATCCCTCAGTTGTTCTTGGAACCAAACCAGAAATAGCCAATATTTTGACAGGAAAGAATCAAAACAAACAGGCAGGGAGAAAACTGGCACTCTGACAACTCCTGCATATCCCTCGCTTGTGTGCTTTACCTTTAGCAGAACATGAGGAGTAAGATGTGTAAGTTAACCTCTGGTTACCTTTTGTACTACCATCATTTCCTTGGCAATTGTTTTCTTTGAAGAAAAAAGTCAGAAGCCAGGAAGAAAACAAAGATGAGGGCCCTAGTTCTGGATTTTTGCTTTTTTAGCCTACAGAGGGGCCTATACTGACTCTTAGCTATTTGTGTTCTAGGACTTTCTTAAAAACTGAATGGATGCCCTGCCTTAATTTTCTCCCACTTTGCCTTCTAAGTGCCTAGGGAAACCAACTAAGAGTGTGTTTTAAAAGCATTTACAGGGGCAAGGGTTTATATTTTTAGGGACAGCTAAATGCTTAGCTCCTCTGCGCTACAGCTACCGATATTTTATGCAGCTGATTACTTTCCCTCTCTCTCTTCTAGCTGCTATGATGTGGACAGTTGGAATGGCAAAGCCAGACACAGCAGCAAGAGGACCAAGTCAGCAGACATGGGATGCAGGTTTGCTTGCATGTCATTCTTCTATACAGAGCAGTGTCCCATGGAAATAACGTGTGCGTTTGAGACTGCAAGTAAATGTAAGCCCCTGAACCCTGATGGATGCATTTTTTTCAGCGTTGTTACATTAGCTGCAGAATCTCAGTGATGTTCTGAAACCTGCTGTTTGAACTGGCAGCAAAGATCACCAGACAATGTAGGAAGCTCCAGTATTCAGACTGCCTTTATTTAAAAAACAAACCAATGAACCAAACAAACAAAAAACCAAACAAAAGTGTTGTCCAACACATATCTTCAGATGTATTGAAGTCAAAAGTGCGCTAGTGGGGGTTTATATTTTTACTAGGTGGGGATAGTAAATTACAATATAGGCTCATAAATATAATGCTGATGAGCTCGTGAACTTAAGTGTGTTGCATTCAGGCCACTGCCACGGAGCGGACATGCTTTTACCTAGCTGTAAGTGCACTATGGCTTACCCTGCCAAAGAAAATGAACGTCTTTACATTTACCCTTGGGTAAAGGCTTATGTTTGGGCAGCCACCCAACAGCAGCTGATGTGTTCCAAGCTTACATTCTAGCTGGTCCTGTGGTAATTTCTGTGCTTTTGCTTTTATCTTCTTGAAATGCAAGTTACTGAAGTTTTGAAGGTGATCGAATAAAATCTGACTTATGTTGGGAGGATTTCCTATCTGGTCCTGTTGCACTTCAGAAGTGACAGTACGTTTTTATTTTAAAGCAATAAATGCTAAGGCTTGATAACTGAATATGCTGCTTATTTCAGGATAAAGCAGCTGACAAACAAACTGCAGGGACACAATCCTGCTTGGAAACTGGGCACAGAGCAGGAGCAAACTACATGCAAAGGCATACAGAATGCCACTGTGGAAGCTCTGTGTGTCCCAGATCACAGTCTGCTCGCATCTGCAGTGGCAGCATCCCATCAGACTGATGTGGACTCGAAAGTTTGTATGACTGCTTCTGAAAAATAGGAACTGTCAGATAGAGTACTGTATCACAGACTGGCTGCTTCCAAAAGCACTACCAAGGGCTCTGTTAGATGTGTTTAACAGGATAAAAAGAAAATTAAATCTGTGAACAACAAAACGCGTCCACTTACTACATGTGAACACCCAGCCCCAACGTCAATGTGATTCAGGGCAGAACTTTTCTCATAAATGGCAGTCCTCTTAGTCATTCATTTTTGTCATACTGAGCACCTCCACCCCAAAGATATAACAACGTGGGAGTGCATATTAAGTTTACTTGGTTTTACTTGTCATTCTAGCCTGTGCAGAGCAATGCTTAGTTCTGCGTAAGTACTCACTTGTTAAAGCCATTGAACTCCTGGGTAGCTGCCAAAGAAGCTGTGAACATGTACCCTTCGACTGTTTCAAATAACAACATACGTGTTTTCCTCAAAGCCACTAAATGTTGCTGCTTGAACTGGTCCTGGTGATCACACCTCCAAAAAACAAAGGCCTTGCCCATTCCAGAGAAGCTTCACAGAAGCGTGGATTCCATGCATAAAACAAGTTATAAATGTAATTTGTGTTTCTTTTTTTGTGTGCTCTTCTTGGCTGATTTTTGTGCAACCAAGCTGAGGATGGGAGAGAGAACCACAGGAGCCCTTCACACACAGACTCTCAGATGTCAGAGACGAGGAGTCCTGTTTCAACCCGCCCCATCACTTCTTTTGAGGAGCTCGAGGAGGAGGAAAGTAAGGGAAGCTTCATACGTTGTTTGCAGCATAGTCAGAGTCAGCGCCTGACGTTTTTACTGATTGTGGTTAACGCACTGTTACCCAGTTTGGCCTAATTGCAGTTAATTTGAAGAGCTGTGACTTGTTGAGTGACAAAGATCTTGAGTCTGACTATTACTTCTTGCTGCTGCAGTATCTGTTCTGGGATTGTGGTTCCAGTGACATCTCTTGGCTATGTGGGCAATTTAAGCAGGAACCTTCACCTGCTTCCCAGGGGACAAGAATTTGTTCAGGAGGAAGCAGAACAGGAGAAGCGGAAGTAACACTTGTTTTCTTTTTGCACTTCTCTCAGGGGGTGTGAAGCTGGGCCTTGGAGACTTCATATTTTACAGTGTGCTTGTTGGGAAAGCAGCTGCCACAGCTAGTGGAGACTGGAATACTACGCTGGCCTGCTTTGTAGCCATTCTCATAGTAAGTGAGCAAGCTTTTAAAAACTCAGTTACAGCCTGATTAGCACAGTGGTGTTGCCAGAAGTACCAGCAGCTGAGCACTGCTAAATCTCTGCAGGTAACATGCTGGGTGTTTAGGAGAAACCACCAGTAGGTTTCCCAGCCCAGTGTTCTGTCTATGAAGACAGGCTTTAAACAGCTGCTGCGAGACGCTGAATGGCATGGGCTGTTGTTGTGTTTTACCCCCAGCCAGCAACTAAGCACCACGCAGCCGCTCGCTCACTCCCCCTACCCTGATGGGATGGGGGAGAGAATCGGAGGAGTAAGAGTGAGAAACACTCCTGGGTTGAGATGAGAACAGTTTAACAATTGAAATAAAGTAAAATAGTAATGATAATAGTAACAATATCATAATGATAATAATAATAATATACAAAGCAAGTGATGCACAATGCAATTGCTCACCACCCACCGACCGATACCCAGACAGCTCCCGAGCAGCGATTGCTGCTCCCCGGCCAACCCCCCCCAGCTTATATACTGAGCATGACGTCATATGGTATGGAATAGCCCTTTGGTCAGTTTGGATCAACTATTCTGGCTGTGCCCCCTCCCAGTTTCTTGTGCACCTGGCAGAGCATGGGAAGCTGAAAAGTCCTTGACTAGCATAAAGCGGTACTTAACACGCTGATGTTTTAGGTGTTGCTATCAACATTATTCTCATCCTAAATCCAAAACACAGCAGTATGCCAGCTACTAGGAAGAAAATTAACTCTATCCCAGCTGAAACTAGGACAGCTGGGAGGGAGGATTCCTCAGAGCAGAGCCAAGTGTGGAGATGGTAGAGGTGAAACAGTCCCAGGGAAAACAGTTACAACTGAACTGTTGGTGTTTGCTTCAGTGTTAAAGATTGGGGACTTCTGTCAGCCACAAGAGTCAATATTATGAACCCCACATTAGTTAGCAAATGTAGTTGAAAAGGTTAACTCCCTTTTGCTAAGGAGAACGGCTAAATAAGAGGATGAAGACCTATCTTGTTCTTGTGTTCACACTGGAAAAACAGGCAGGAAGGAGACTTAAAAATCCATGGAAACTATCAGTAAAAGCAGGTGACAATCATACTGTAACTGCTAAAGGACTTGGTCCTGCCAGGTCTAATGACCATACACTGTTGAGCTTTCACCTAGGTAGAGAATAATTACTAGCAGCTTGCTGTTTACACCAGCATCCTCACGGAAACTAACCAGAAGGGCAACAGCAGGAGTTCTAGAAGGTAGAAGAAAATGAATTATCCCATCCTTCTTGGGCCTCCATTTCCTCACTTAGATCCCAAGAATAGTGAAAGACAGTGACTTGCACTTGTGAAGATCATGGATCAAAAAGCATGAGAACTAAAAATGCACTAACTTAAATATAGCTTTCCTACCTCACAGGTCAGAGAAACCAATAGGATCACCTAGCTCCATATCCTGGGGTCCGGCACAGGGCCCCTTTGCTGGGGGGAATGCTCTCAGACATCTGCTCTCACAGATGTCTGTGAGGCCAAATGCCCCATTCTGTTTCTTTTACAGTGCTGTTATGTTTTTTTGGAGCCTAGTGTCTCTTGAGTTTTGTCATCATGGAGGAAGAAAAAAGCGCTCAGATGAGAGAAGGAATCTAAATCTAAATGTACTTAGCCATACTGTCTATCCAAAACGTACAAAAGCTTTCACACATGCTCAAAAAACCAGATCTTGGCCTGCTATCCAGATAAAAACAGAATTCACCTATCATAGTAAGCAATCCAGTCAAAAGAACAGCAGTGGATATTTTGTTTTGTTTTTTTGTTCTTTTTTTACCCCAAGAGACCTTGAAAACTGGAAAGGTATTAGAAGTACATGCCGCTGTGTATTAGTCCTCCAGTGAAACTCCTTATCTATGCAGTTCACCAGGATTTAAGTGCTTTTATCTGCTAGATCAGTACTTCATACATACTAGCACAGAACAAAATGTAAAATAATCTGTAAATAAATTAACCTCTTGGGGTCAGCTGTATGTCAGCACTAGCTGTTCATACCACTTTCTCAGCAGAGAGCTGTGCTCAAGATTGCTGAAGAAAATACCTGGCCAGCTTGTGTGAAAGATGAAGGTGTGGGCCAATGTACCTCATGCCACTGGTAGCTCAGGCAGGCTTCAATTGCTGTACAGTGTATATAGCTTATTATTTGTATATTAGTTTGTTGATGACGGATATGTTTCTGGGCTTCTTACTGTATCTCCCTGTGTTTTTTATTCTCTTCTCTCTGGCAGGGTTTATGCTTAACTCTTTTATTACTGGCTGTTTTTAAGAAAGCACTGCCTGCTCTTCCCATCTCCATCACCTTTGGCTTGGTCTTTTACTTCTCAACAGACAACCTTGTGCGACCGTTCATGGACACCCTGGCCTCCCACCAGCTGTATATTTAGAAGAAGTGGGAGTTAGAGGATTCTTTTTAAAGCTTTGCTGTGAAGTATGGTACTCTGTTTGGAATAAGTCATAAAGTTTTACACTTAGTGCCATATATTTGTAAGGAAAACACTAACTCTGTTACATGATGTGTACTAAAAATCTAATAGTTACATGTTGAACGGAGATTTTTCACAGGGCTCTTGGACTCCAGTGAAAAGCCTGGCTCGCTGCTGATGTCAGAGCATTACTTTTATGTTATTTGATGTGCACACTGGCTGTTGTGAGCACAGAAACCTGTATGTAGCATGGGACACCGGAGAGGTGAAGGGTCTGATCTGTGCTTCTAGAAGCTAAGGTGTTTTAGCCCTGGAATTGCAGTCAAGTTTAACCGTACTCTAGAATTGCTAATGCTTCACACTTTTGAAGTGTTGTGCAAACACGTGGTGCAAGTAAGTCGTACCTGTAATCAGAAAAGCATAGCAGTCAGCGTGCACAGAAGAGAGCACTGCATTACACCTAGTTGTGAGCATTAGAGAAGTGAGGCTGAACTTCATAAGCTGGCCTCTGTGCGCACAACTTCTGTGGAAATTACCCGGAATGCCTATTTATTCTGAGACATAGTGAGCTATGATGGATCTAGACATGATGTCAGTGGTGGGACCTTTAGGTTCCCAGGCTTCTGGTTCTGAGCGCATCCACCACTGCAGCTAACAGCTGAAGGCAGGGCTGCCTGTTCCAGCGCATCAGATCCTCAGTGTGGGAAGACAGATACTTTTTCCTGTCTCCTCCCAGCATTTTATCTTTTTGGAAATCTTTCTCTGGGTCCATACTACAATCCTCAAATTATCATAAGGTGGAAATTACTGCACAACTCCAGTAAATCAGTTGAGCTGTAACTTCTTGTATTTCTGGTCTCATTTCTGTGCATTGTTGTAACCACTCCAAAGGAGGATTTACCTTCCCTTTATGAAGAGGTCCTTTTACACTGACCGAGGCTTGGTTTACCTAGTTTTTGGTACTGTTTAAAGATTATTTTTTTTACTTACAAATTTTAAAATAGCTATTTAATGTCAAAGGGACTCTTTTGGAAATACCCTGTCATAGTTTGTATTAAAATATGGGGGTGCGAACTTTAATCTGCTGTTACATTACTCTACATAAGGCATCATTAATCCTAGGAGTATTTACACAGCCTCAAGTGAGTTCATTTAAAAAAAAAAATTTAAAAAATCAGTGTTTGTTGCCATTAAAAAAAACGGTTCTGACCGAACCTTACTGTTTCCTCCACCTTTTAAAATCATTTTATTTCTACTCCAAGAGTCAGTTTTTCAGAAATAGTCAAGTTCTGTTATTTTCTCTTGTCTTTTTGAGTGTCTGTTATGCAAACAAGCTCTGTTTTCTTTGACAGCTCATCAATGTTAGTGTTTCAAAATGTAACATTATGTAAGGTTTTGTGAATAATGCAATGTCATTGAGAGATGCAGAATTTAATCTCTGAAAATAGTTTTTAGATAAGGCTTTGAACTATGCATTTTTAAGGTAGTGCTTTTTCCAATAGACTTTGATATTTAACAAGGACATCACACAGGTGATTCAAACAAATTTTTAAAAAGCATGTAAGGGTTTTTACAAGTTATATATGTCTCAGTTTGGACAAGTAAGTAATTCTGGCTCTTTGTTTAGTTTTCTGTCCTCATTTCTTACATTTGCACTGTTTGGACTTAACAGCTGCAGACAGGATTAATTATTACTAAAAGGTATTTCCTTTGGAAACGTCAATCACTAAAGCTCTGTCTGATGATTTTTAAGGTTTATGTGAGAGTTGTTTTTTCTTTTTGTTTGTTTGTTGTTTGGGTTTGTTGTTGTTTTTTTTTAACTAAAACAGTTATGGGGCCAAAGCAGAATGCAATCACTTGCAAACATGATTTTACTTTTTGCATTGCATGGTGTAGAGAGGATGTGAAATACTTATATGTACTAGAAGAAAAATCCTGCTTGGCTTAACAGGCTTGTAGCATATTGTTAGAAACAATTTATTTCTATGAAAGCGGAGTTGATATTTGAAGGAAACTTTGGGGGGTATCTTCAAATATTGAAGGATCACTACTGGAGCTGGTGGTTTTCTGCAGATTTGTGCTTGCCAAAGATTGGCCTTCCACTGAGCAATTCTGCATAACTTATAAAAATTGCAACTTAAAAGGTAACCGAGTAACAGATTCTGTCTGCAACAAGATGTATTGTCCTGGTGAGTGATAGAGGAGTATATCATGTATATACTGGAGTGGTTTTAATTGTGTAAAAGTTCATACGTATTTACTACAAACATATATTCACTGTGTGTGTTTATGTGTGTATGTACACATATTCACACAAGTTTTAAAATGATACTGAGTGATTTCTCATCTCATTTGGCATTTTCACCTGTGCATAAAGTAAAGTTTTGTTCGTGATGTTAACATTGCGCAGCATGGCCTAAGATGTGAAAATGGAGAGGGCAGGATTTACTCTGCTCCCTAGCTGGCTACTCCATGAGATACTGACTCAGTGACCTGGCAACTTGCGTGAGCAAAGCATTTGTCTTTCTACTGTTTGTTCACTGTTTTCAACTTGCTGCATGCTCTGCTTAACTGCAGTCTCTTTCACCCTGAAGAAATCCTAATGCTCCCACTGATGCGCATCCCCGAAAAAGCACAGCTCTCAGGTAGGCTGGGGTGACACCCATCTGATGCAGCTGTGACTCAACAGCCTGAAGTCCTCTAGGAGGTGCCACGTGTTGGCATTTTCCTACGTGATCCCTGTCACATCCACTCCTCCTCTGCAGTCTAAAATGAGTGTCTCGTTGCATCTAGTCTCAAATGTGGCTTGGGCATACACCAATCTCTAACATGTTAAGACTGAAGTTAGGTCCACAAACAAAAATGTAGTGGTAAGCCTGCCTAATGCAAACTGAAGGTTTTCATTGGTGGGAGATACGCAACCTCCTTGCAGCATTTAGTGCCTTTGTTAGAAGCATGTGCAATTCAACCAGTTTGGCATTGTTACCTTCTGACCACGCAGTTGCTGCTTGTGCTTATTGCTGTGTGTTTCCTCTTGCCGCTTCATTGTTGCTTTTGGTTTCAATTGCTTCGGGATTGTTTTGTTTAAAGTGTCTACTATGCATTGAAGACTGGAGATGCATTCTGCCCGCAGAGAATGCATAAGAAGCAGCACAGTTGTAAAGAAAGTACGAGAAACAGGACACTCCTTGTAGAACCACGCAGTGCTTCTACAGCAGCTCTCATCAGATACTCGAGGTCTCATTCATAAAACCTAATTTCAGGCTCTTAAGGGAAGTCTTTCAGAAGGGAGTCAGTCTGTGCTAGAAATGTCATCTCCTGGTTCGCAGAGAGAAAAGGACACATTTGCAATATGAGGTGTCTCAGCAAGAGCTTTATAAACACTGCTGAAGTTGGGTCAACAAGGGTTAGTAGATACAGGAAGGTCACAGCACACGTCTACCACAGTCAGGAGAAGGAGCAGTGGTCTGCTCTCCCATACCTTCTTTGCACCAGTTGCTAGTGAATTCTCCTCCATGGAGCAACTGGATGAAGTTAGATGGACCTTCTTCTCTCTTTGAGTAAACGGCACTTGCTGACGGGACTCTGGTGAAGAACAGCTCAAGGCCCACTGTGCTTGCAAAACAACGTATTTGGAGATCTCCCTGCTACTCCCAAATCAGTAAATTTCTCTGCTTTGTTCTTGCCTTCCTAGGTACTTCCAGTTAATCACACGGTGTGTTTGCCTGCCTTTTCCTTGTAACTCAAATTGTGTTTTGGTTTAAATTGAATATATAGTTATTTTTCTTTATCGTTTCCCTCAGTCTCTGGTCTTCCTGTTTCTGCATTAGAGATGCTCCTTGGCAGCCACGGGAGGGCGGTAAGTCTATATGGAGAAGTACCAGCCATTTTAAAGTACTCTGCTGCATGTCCCTTGTTTTTCAGTAAGGCTGAAGGCCCTGGAGTCTCTCTCGTGTCAGGGACCTCACACCCCAGCACAGCTGCAGTTTTAGCACAACAAGGGAGAGGTTTTGAGTGAGAGTGAGCTCATGCTGTACCAGAATCCATTTAAAACCAGCTGGTTTCAATGTGATGCCATGTTCAGCACTGCAGCTCTCAGTAAGGTGCTGCTGTTACACTGTACACTCCATTTTGTTGGGTCCCCCCTATTTTTTTTTTTTTTTTTAAAAGCAGTCAGCCCTAGTTTCAGTCCTACAAAGCCCAAGCCTAAGTTAGGAGCTCCTCCAGACATTGCTAAATTAGATTTTTCTTCTGGGTGTCCTCAAGGAGCAAAGGAATAATTATACTTACTGCTTTGTCATTCCTCCTCTCACTTGCAGTCTCCTGTTCTGTCACAGCAGGTCTTGCTAATCTGGGGGGAAAAAAAGACAGTACGTTGCTGTCATTCCAGCTCTCAGCACTGGGGAATCTAGAGTCTAGCTAGATCATGTTGTCTGTGCTGTCAGAAGGACCAGGAGCTATCTAGTTTTCTTGAACTCAGTTGCTTTATAAGAAAGCAGTCTGGACAAATGTGGTATCTTTGCCAGAACTTCTCCTATCACACTATTCATATGCCCCTTAACGCACTGTTGCATTCCTTGTTGAATTTATCCTTGCTTCCCCTGCCCCCAGTAAGGTAAAGTGATGTGAGCTGCTCCTGTTCTACAAATGGGAAACAGAGCAAGAGTAAGAGAGTAAATGTTGGGTTTAAGCTTGGTTACATAAGAAAGATCTGCCCACATCAGATCAGGGCATCAAACATGATCACACAAGTCACCATCCTTCCTTTTACATCTTCCTTTTGCTGCAGATTTGCTATTGCCTATCTCTTCCCACTCTAAATTCAAGACATTTGCCCTGGGCACTCAAGGAGTTAAGTGAATATGAACTGTTATCTTCTCCTTCGTGTGACACGTTTGTTTGACAGGTGCCCAAGAGCACAATTTGGGAAGTGGCAGTGCTCAGCACTATTTATGGCTCAGTATTAAAAAGATATAAATAAATAGCGACTTTGAAGTGGAACTAGCTAAACTCCTTGATATAGAAACCTGAGACAGGTACAGGGCCAAGTAGTTGGAATGGAAGTTTTCCAAAAGTGGGAAGTGTTTGAGCCCTATCAAATGCAGCCTGAACTAAGTGACAGCTCCCAAGGCCAACTCAGGATTAGGTCTGTGCAGAAATAAATGGTGTGAAGCCTGGCACTCCCGAACTGCCTTGCAGGACCTGAAGAATCAGAAGAGGGCAGAGTAAAAAAAGCATTAGGCCTGTTTTCTCCTACATCATTGGTTTCTATGATTTCAGGGAGACCTTGCTCACTCCAGTATAAAACGCGAATAACTCTACAGCTAACTTGCATTTAAGCAGAGCCAGAACAATGTAAAAATAGTGTGAGAGCAAGTGTGAAAAACTGATCCAACCTTT